TAAGCAGTGAAATGTTTGCAACAAATTCTGCTAAATATGATGAATTATAGTACTTCCAGCCACACCATAACCTGAATAAATGGGAATCTTCACAGACACTGGCTTAAAGTGTAGTCCCACTATTGCAGTCACTTTTGGGAATCCACAATTATAGTGTATGCTTTTTTATGTGTTGCCATTCACACAGCACACCTAAAAATATATATATATTTTTGAATTTTATTACTTTTCTAGTTTGTTTTCTTACTTTTCAGGTTGATACATAAGACTTCAGGTTATTCTGATCAATTTCAAAGTGCGATTAGAAGAAAGTGCATTGATATATAATGTACCATTCAAGCCTTGATATTTTTAACCTTTGTTAGGACAGACAGTGGAGCCCCATTCCTTAAGATTACATAGACGGGGAAGGCTAAGTAACATTTTAAAGCAAGTAAAAATACAAAGTAGGTAATATCCCGATTTGGCTGCAAAAGTGGAACACATTAACATTTCAACAGGAAACTATAAATGATGGGGAATAGTTACCTAATTCCCACAGAATGAAAACCAGTTTTCGCTGTATGTAATATTAAAATTTGCAAGGTTTTCAGCCTGGCACATAATATTCAACATAATATTGGAATATTCAAACATTTTGGAACTATGAGATCATCATGATCAAAGCGACTATTCACTTACACAGGATTGTAGAGAAAGTATATTAGCAGTATATAGATGTAGTTGCACTAAACAAAAACTTTTTTTTTTCTTCATATTTTGTTAAACAGAAGAATCAAAACCCAAACCCAAGTAAGTAGTTCTCTTAAAAATTAATTGCATTGTTATACAGCACCATTTTTTTGTGACTTTGCTTGGTAACACTAATATTTAGTAAGTAAAAAAAATGTATACCAATTGTAAATAGAACAAAGATGAAAAATGCATTTTACATTTGAAACAGTAATTGTTTTGCAGCCATTTTGGTGGTTTCACTGGTGTGTTTATTTCTCTTATAAAAAAGTGGAGATATTTAGACATCTGGCCCTCTAAGGGTAACTCCCATGCTCCTACAGCATCACAAACTTTGAATGGCCCTGAGCTACATGACCAATTTAAGCAATCCTATTGCTGCACTTTAATGCAAACTGCTATAGAAAACTGGTTCTTTAGGTACATTTTACATTATACCATTTTGCATTGGCAAGCTGGTTCTGTTTGTCCTCAAAATGAGGCAAGACCATATCAATGTGCTAATTTTTTTACTATTGTTAAAACTCAGAACTCAGACAGAATGTCAGTGAATCCTGGGTCTGATGAAAGGAAAATAATGTGTTCAAACTATATTTTTCTTGCACAGAAATATTATTATATATTTAGTAATTAACAGGATGAAAGTTCTGTTATCTACCTATTTTCCATTTGACTATTGAGCACATATAAAGGCTATAGTGGCATTACTGTCTCTCTGACTCTAATTATGATTTCAGTTTGGTACTACTGTAAATACTGTAAGTATGTCTCCACTATGTAATTGTACCATCTTTACTAATATCAATATTAAAACACATCTTAAGATGCAGGACACATTAGTTTCCATTGATATATTGACATGTACTTATGAGCTATGCAGATGTTCTCTGTCCCAGTGAAAGAAAATCTAAAAAAAAAACTATGATCTTGTGATTTTTAAAAATAATAAATGCAAAATGTTATTGTTTTTTTCAGACTTTTTATGCCAACCTTGGTTCCTCTGAAAATCCCAGATGGAGAAAAAGTAGATTTTGATGTAAGAATGATGACAGTTTTGATAGTCCTTTAATTCGTCCATATAATTTAATCTTCAGAAGCAAATCTAAGCCATAAATTTAAATAATCATATTTTACTGTATATTCTACACTACCATAATTCTGCATGGTTAAAAATAAATAAACTAATCAAAGACCCTACTGAAATTCATCTCGGAGAACTTAATTTGTGTTACTTTTCCCCCCAATATATTACTTTTTATATGCAATATAAATTAAAAGTGGTGGTTGTGAACCACCCATGAAAGAGGGTGAAAGGTACACTATGGTAATTCTGGAATACAGAGCAAACCACCTGAGCTGAAATCATGGTGGTGTCTCTTGCAAACTCCCTCGGAGCACTCCTGTTACATATGACACACCCATACCTATAAAAAAAAATACAAAAATTTGTTACTGAAACCCTTAATGCTGCTATGTGGATAAAAATCAGATCTTCCCAATAAGACACATTGGGGTTGATTTACTAAAGGCAAATAAGCTGTTCACTTTGGAATGGAAGTTGAACTTTGCAAGTGAATTTTTCCCAAAGCTTAGTGAATGTGGTGAAATTTCCCTTTATACTCTGCAAGGAATATCCAATTATGTGTGAAAAATAATAAAAACAGAATTTTTGATTGCACATGATTGGAAGATGGAAATCAGCAGAACCTCAACTCATTCACTAAGCTCTGGGAAAAAATCCCTTGCAAAGTAAACAGTCTACTTGTCTTTGGTAAATCAACCCCTTTGGCTCACCAGAGTTAGTGAAATCCAGCAAATTGAAAGTCTTTCTCTGGCTCTGAGAGACCAGGAATAGAAATACTCACAGATGTGGACGCCTTGGCATCTGTACAGAACCAATAATTACAAGCACCAGCATAGGCATCCCATTCTTTATCTATGGGTTGTCTGAAGTGCTGGGTGTGGGGTCTTTTTTTAGGGGAAGAGAAGGGAGGAGGTGACAGCCATATTTTGACCTTTCATTCATTATTTCCCATCTTTTCACTCCTTTTCCCTGTTTTTATTTGCAACTTCTTGAGAGTTGCCTTATCTCTATCCCTCTATCACATTACCTCTCATTTCTGCTATCCCCTGATATACCTACTGATATACCTAATCTCATCTTTCTTAGCCCAGCTAAACAAAAACAGAAAAAGTATGGTGACATCCATTGAGGGAAAGTTTATTTTTATTGATACAGGAAACATATCTTTACAAATACATATTATCCAGCAGAAGTATTATAATCAAAAATGCTTTGGATGCAACAGCCAGTATGTTAGATCAATCATGTTTATACATGTCTGTTGGAGCCCTGCTCCAACCCATTGATATACCCATATGGATATACCCATTGATACCATATCTGACATATATACAAAGATTGTCCCTGCCTTTTTTATTACGATACACATATGTACCTGGTTTAAATGTACTGTAAAGATTGTTTACCATTTCTTTTGTACCCCCTTCTGGTGTCCACCTTTAAATAAAAAAAAATATGTAATATATACAATATTTGTAGTTAATGCCGCTTTGGATGTACCTGAACAAAGTTGTGTTTTCATAGAGACCCTTGCATTGATCGTTAGCCAGGTCACTAAATTCCTGAAGGAGATTAAAGACCTGGGAAAAGGGTCATGTATTTCTTATCATATCGTATAGAATATTTTTGACAACGTGGAGTAACAACTAATTACATATGCCATTGATATGTTCGCAGATATATGATGCCCTCTAACTACTGTGAGATATTTACTGTATTTTACATTCAGCAATCAGCAGTGTGAACCCCAAAAAATGTATTAGGCACCCTCATAGCACCCCCATAATTTACATGCCATTACCTGTATGTGTTACAGTGATGCCATCACTGCTATGTTCTACTGCACTGGTTGATTTTCACCTTTGCTTCTATTATGTGCTCAGGATTTACTATTGTGTTGTGCTGGGGTTTATTACCATGCCGGGCTGGGGGTTAATTGTTGTGACATGTTGCGGGTTAATTATTGTGCAGTGTTGGGTGCTAATTGTTGTATAATTTTGGGTGGTAAGTGTTATGTAATTTTTGGGGCTATTGCTATTGTTGTGCAATGCTAGTGGAGGTTAATTACTGTGCCATGCTGAGGGTTAAGTATTGAACCATGCACTGGTAAATTATTGTGCTGTGCTAGGGGTTACATTTCTGTGTCCTACTGTAGGTTAATTATTGTGGGTGCTGTAAGTTAATTATTTTTCTGTGCTGGGGGCTATTGCTGAAACTGACACAAGATGGGGGTTTTAATTTCTGATCCCGGCTGGGCTAATTTTAATTCCAGCCTCTTCAGTTTACCCTCAGATCTTATTTGGTCTATAAAAAAAGAGAAAAGTTACACTACAAGCCATAGACCATGAAGAAATATCCACTTGCTGGGCCACACCTATTTTTTGTCCACGCCCACAGGCTCGCAGTAGGCATTGTGCTTCATGTGCCGCATTAGCACCCACATTCATACTTCAAGCGCCAGCATAGCACCCCCCAAAAAAATATTCCGAGCCACTCCAGCCCTAGTGCAACCCATTTTGTCCCCCACTGCCTGCAGTTTTGCAGAACCTGGTGTTGCCTTCAGTTGTGCAGGACCTGGTGTTGTGTTGGCTTTGAACACATATACTTTTCAATTAGTCCCTGGGATTGGTCATATGACCATCTTGTTCTATGAGTTGAACCAATACCATAAACCTGAACAACTCTACTCCTGGGTGCATCACTGGCACATATTGTATCTACTTGTTGCACCCTGCATTAAAAGTAAGAAGAGATGTATAGGCCATAGAAAAGCCCAGTGTTGCTTATTCTGCTGTGGCCCTGTTCCTACACCGGTGCTTTCCAAGAAAAAAAAGCAAAAGAAAAAAACAGCAATTGTTTTAGATGAAACACAGCCCCTGAACTTCCTTCTTTGTTGAAAGTGTCTTTTTACATAATTGCAACTGAAGATGCGCAGGCAACAGGATAAATTAAAATAAAGCTTTAATAGTCACAATAATGGTTGGATGTGTACACAATCCTGTATTATAAAAATGTCACATAATGGAAATTTGTTTCCTCTGTGCAGGAACAACAATGATTATTGCCCTTCCATTTGTAACAGTAGTTACTACTAACATTATTTTAACAGCACTGAGAATTTAATATGATTCTTTGCAGGACATTCACAGAAAACGCATGGAAAAGGATCTTACAGAACTTCAGACACTTATCGAAGCTCACTTTGAGAATCGCAAAAAGGAGGAAGAAGAACTTTTGGCTTTGGCTGATCGCATGGTATAAATAACTCTTATTATTATTACTAGCTTTCCACTGAAGTAAGTTTAAATAAACATATAGTACTTAGACAGCAAGAATGTAGGGGAGGTTGCAGAAACCCGTCTAGCAACACAGAGGACCAGAAGCAGAGGACCAGGTAAACAGAACTGCTTTTCACAGTACTCTTTTTAGTTTCATATTTAGATAAAGTCAACCACTTTTTGGTGTACTTACTTTTTTAATGTCAATGTCAAGACTAGCACCTCTGTTCAAAAAAGATCCTAGCAATTTCTTCTGCTTACACATACATGAAACGAGGATCAATATTTTATGAGATTTTTTTTTTGTTTTCCTCAAATTGTTCAGTTTATAAACCAGCCTATTGCATAGAATCTGTATTTTTCACATGGGATTGGCATTTAAAGGCTTCTTCACACCACCCAAATTCTATATAGTAACACAGCACAATATTGTTGCAGTGCACTGCAATGTTCTCTGATGCCCTATTTGTATATAGAGGTGCTCTACATTTGCAAAACTTTGTGCAGGAGTGATTATTTTGTTTGTTTTGCTTTAAGCAGCACATTGAAATTAATGGGCTACCTTAATGCAATGCTAGTTAACACGCATGCCAAATTAATCACAGCAACCCCCCTGATATCAACTGTTAAGAGCCTCTGTTTCTCAAGAACTTGTTTTAGATATAATGCATCTTCATTTTATTTCCACCTCAAGTAGATTCTCAATCACCAGTCAGAGGCTAAAATATTTTGATTGTGGATTCATCATATAGGTATATATTGTCTTCATTTACTCCTTACATTTTAGGAAAACAGAAGAGCAGAAAGAGCAGAACAGTTGAGAATTCGCACAGAGAGAGAGAAGGAAAGGCAGGCAAGAGTAGCTGTAAGTATGCCAAAAATAAAATCTGATTTGAGTTTAAATCATAGAAGTGAATTAACTGTAATTTTTTTTCTAAAACTTACATATGGAATGCGGAGGTGCTGTTCATTCCAACAATATTACTCTTGGGATGCTAGCTTATTGAGATCCACTGAAAAAATAAATTTTGCTTTGCTGAAATTCAGTTAATCAAATATGCTCGTTTTAAGCATTGAGTATTTGTCAACAAGGCTGCTTATATTGAGAAGGGTTGCCACTAGGAATGAGGTTTGGGTCTGCCTCTACCATCGGTAAGATGCGAATCCTGCAGGTTCGAGATTTGTGATCCTGGAGAATTTATTGGAAGAATTTTTTTCAACTGTAATCTACAGCAGGCTTTGAAGAACTGATAATGTGGCTTTTGGTTAAGCCACCCCCCTCCCCATAAAAGAGGGGGCACTGAGCAGCCATAGTGTCAGTGAATTAGAAGCTATTGTAGGGAAAACTGACAAACTGCACAGGGAGAGATAAGGGTCAGTTATGAAACTATACTTTAAATCTGATTGCTAGCTCTTTGGGCAATCAACCCAGATGCTGCCTTATTTTATGGTTCTTATTATTGGGGGCTTAAGTTGTGTTTAATTTTACTTTGTGGTTGATTTGAGATCAGTAATTCGTTTTAGCTGCGGTCCCTTCCATAGAAATTTTTTTTTTTGCTGCAAGGCTTATCTTACAAAACAGGCTTTGGTTTAAGGGTTGGTATTTGGGTTTTCATCTATTTTGGGGGTATATTGGTTTTTATTTTATGTTGACAGAGTCTTAATTTTATATTAAACAGGGGTAGAATTTTGGGGTTTTATTTTATGGTAATATGAATTTTTAATTTGCATTTGCTTATTCTTGAAGCTGCCTTTTGTTTGCAGAAGGCCTCTGTATTGTTTGAAGGAAATAAAGAAAAGTAAAGTGCACCTTGAATTATTGAAATCCCCAGCCTCTTATCCCCATAGATAGCATAACAGTTAAGCATACACCAGTTAGGGCTATTATAGTCTGCTGTCTCCTAGTTCCTCTGGTAAATCATCTGCCTTTACTCTTTATCTCTAAGATATTTGGCCTGTTTTCCCATATTAAAACTATCCTGCTACTGACCAATGTTATACTGTATCTTCTGCAGTATCTAAATCAGTGTTTCCTAACCTTTTTTCAGTCAAGGTACCCTTTAAACATAGTTCCGAGGCACCCTTTAAAATGATGGACAGTCTTGAGGCACCCCATTCTAAAATGGGGTGCCTCAAGACTGTCCATCATTTTAAGAGGGCACCCCATTCTAAAATGTGAAAAACTATTTCATTTTATATAACACAGCAACACCCACACGTGTAAAACACCCAGCATTAGAGGTGATTTATTCTTCCAAAGCAAATACACTTATATAGACAAATATATATAGACAAAAAAAAACCCAACCACCACAATCAGATCAATATTATGTAATATATTAATAGAATGATAAATAGATGTGGATTGGTGCTCTAGACATGAGCAAGCATATGATTTCAAAATAATATCCACATCTGGGTAAGCCCAATCTATGTATCGTTCTTTTAATATATTACATAATATTGTTCTGATTGTGGTGGTTGGAGATTTTTTTTTTTGTCTATACATAATATTTAGATGGTGGTTTCATTTGTCTTAGCCCGCAGGATAAGTGTATATTAAAGGGGCGGTGCCATTTGGTGTTCCAAGATACGCGGAGTTAATCCCTGCCCATAGGCGGCCTGGAAACACCCCTGTAGAGATTGGTGGTTTTATTTCAACACCATATATTAGTCCAGGAGCAGCTATTAGCTCGATAGGCTCTAAGAAAGAGGATAAATCCTTGAAACGTGTCAGCCTGTGGATGTCCCGGCCGGTGATTACTCACCGGCACCCAGTGATTGCCAAGTATCTCCATCGGAGGAGAACTGTTTGTAAACACAACAGTTCTCCTTCCTGTCAGCTTGTGCACACTGCTTTGGATGGCTGTGCACAGCACAGCCATCCAAAGCAGTATGCTTACAGTGAAGCACACAGCCCCATAGTAAAACACACCCAGCACACAGTTAACCCTTTGATTGCCCCTCATGTTAACCCCTTCCTGCCCAGTGCCATCAGTACAGTGTCAGTGCTATTTTTGTGCATGTTTCAGTTCAGGAAGTGTGATGACTGTCTGGTGGGAACTGAGATTAAAAAAAAAATAGTTATTTAATGTACTTTGTTTTTGAACTTGCATTCTATGGGCAATAGTAAAATAACAAATTATGGTTGCCAGAGGTGGAGCATAAGAAATACTAATGTCTTTTTAAGAAGATTTACAATGTAACAATTCTAGAGAATTTTAGAGGGATTTACCAAATAAATGTAGCCAATGGTTATATTTATGTGCTAATAATTTGATATTTTACTACTGCCTTCAAAAGAATATATGTTTAAAAGAGAAAATAGCCTAATAACATTTTTTTTTTTTGCTCAGTTCATACAGAATGTATATACTGATTTGCTGGATGGATGGCTATGTGATTTTTTTAAAATAAATAGACTCCTATATGTCAAGTATATGTGATGTCCTCTGAGATTTTATCTGCTGTGGCCATGGTGTTCACAACTAAGGCCTCTTTCACACTGGCAGTCTCCGCTAAGCGGGTCCACCTGCTCAGTGGGGGATCTGTCTGCTAATCCCTGCTGAGCAGACAGATGTAAATGAACCACCTGTCCATTTACATCCAACTGTCATCTGATCCAATCCAATCACATCTGCTTTACACAGACAGCAGTGAAAACCTTTCAAAGGTTCTAACCTTTACCCACTTTAATGAAAAGTGAGGAATGAAAACCTGAGGAAAACTTTTAATATCTAATATGATACTTCATTTAAAAATTATTATTGATTTTGACAGGTACTCCTTAATAATTATAAACCTATCAAAAGATAACATTTTACCAAATTGTGAAAACATTTTTTTTTTAGGAAGAACGTGCTCGGAAAGAAGAAGAGGAAAACCGGAGAAGAGCAGAAGAAGATAACAAGAAAAAAAAGGCATTTTCCAATATGCTCCACTTTGGAGGCTACCTGCAAAAGGTATTTAAATATTTTTTTTTATGATTAGAGCCAATTTTATATATTTGCACTTAATGGGAATGATTTATTAATAAAATGTACCAGAGCAAGAATGAAGTGCAATGATATGCTTTCATCACCAGCTTGCTTTCATCACCAACCTGCAGATGTACCCACGCTCAATGAATGCAATCCCTAAATCTATGTAGTTGATAAAACGCTGATTATCAATGTACATGGTGGAGTTTTAGTTTGTAGTATGTGTTGAACATTCAAAAAATGCTGCTTTTGTGTATTCTATTCTGATGAATGTGAGTATGAAAGAGGTAGAGATGAACTATAAATGTTTGGCGAGGTGGTATATGACACCAAATATAGTACACAAACATAATAGGGAGAAGTCACCTTTATGTTGGAGGGGATGTGGGGAACAGGGCACGGAAGGTCACATTTGGTGGAAATGTCACAAAATTCAAAAAATATTGGCAAGAGGTACACCTAACCCTCCATTTTCTTTATCTCTAGTTAGAACTTCATAACTTATTTTAGGTTTTTTATTTCTCCATATGAACTTTAGCATGATTTTTTTCATTATCCTAAAATAAAGTCCTGGCAGCTTTATTGGGATCATCTGGAATTTATATAAAATTTTTGGGACAATTACCATTTTCATTATATTTATTCATCCTATCCACGATATACCACCTATCCCAAATTTTCTCATTTCATCTTTAATTTAATTAAATAATGGAATATAATTTACTTTGTATAGATTCTTCATGGAGACTGGCAATTTTATTCTCAAATATTTTAATTCTTTTTCCTTCCAAGAGAAAGAAAATTCCCTTTGCAAGGCCTCTCTCTCTCTTCTTGGAAGATTTATATTCAAGATTTCTGCTTTAGTTGGGTTGATTTTCAAGTTAGACCACTCCCCATATTCCTTCAATGTTTTCATTAAGTTGGGTAATGTTATCTTTGGGTTACCTACATAAAAACGCATATCATCAGCATACGCCGCAACTTTATGCTCTGTCTCCCCAATCCTAATTCCCTTAATATCTGTATTTTTCCTTATTATCTCTAGAAGGGATTCTAAGGACAGGACAAACAGCAATGGTGACAAATGGCATCCCTGACGTGTCCCATTATGCATCTTAAAACTCTCTGATATTTCTCCGTTAACCTTTATTGCAGCTGATGGTTGACTGTACAATTTCCCTATCCATATTCTCATTCTAGGGCCCACCCCCATGACCTTCAATGTATCCAACATATACCCCCAGTCTACTCTAACAAATGCTTTTTCAGCATCTACGGACAATAACAATACAGGGAATTTTTCTCTTTTACTTTTTTGTATGAGCATTATAGATCTTAATCCATTATCCCTACCCTCTCTCCCAGGGACAAACCCCACTTGATCCATATGGATCCACACCGGCATTAGCTCTTTCAGCCTACTTGCCAGCATTTAATCTCCACGTGTTTACCTTTTTTTGTTCTCTTCCCCATTTTAACCTTATTGTGACAGGTGCATGATCGGATAGCGTTATAGTTTCTATCCTTGCTTTCACCAAAGACTCTATAAGTCTATGGTCTAGCAAGATATAATCCAATCTTGAATACGTCTCATGTGCGTGAGAGTAAAATGTATAATCTCTATCCCTTAGATTTCTATTTCTCCAACTATCAACCAACTGACAATATTGTATCATTTTCTTTAATTCTCTCAAATGTTTGTTTCCCCTCTCTCAACACATAAGATGTCGAGTCAAGTTGTGGTTCCATGCAACAGTTAAAATCTCCTGCCACAATTAGTTTACCTTTTTTAAAATCTAGTAGCTTCTTCAGTATGTTCTTTAGATAGGCCTCTGATTTTTTATTGGGGCAATATATATTTGCCAATGTACATTCTACCTCTTGCAACTTCCCATTTAAAAATAAAAATCTCCCCTCCGGATCCTTCACTTTATCTTCCAAACAGAACCTTACATTTTTCGCAAACCCAGCTGCCACCCCTTTAGCACGTTTAATTGGGGAGTCTACATAGTACCATACTGGGTAGTGCTTATAATGTAATTTCACATTTGTTTCTTGCATTAGATGTGTCTCCTGTATAAACACCACCTCAGTATATCTTTTTTGTATTTCTCTAAAAATCTTAAATCTTTTCTCTCAACTGTTTAGCCATTTACCATTATAAGTCATATAATTAACCTCCTCCATTACTATATATATTTTCCATTCTTTCTTTCCCCAGGATTCTCCTTAATTCTTTTATTTCCTTTCTTTTTGCTAAGTATCCCCCTTTTCCCTTTGCCCTCCCCCCCACCCGCCTTTCCTTCTTCCCTCTCCTCCCCCCGCCCTCCCCATACCTTAGACCTTTTGGTCTATGAATCATTTTCCCTATATCAGTTTAAGGTGGTGCTCCAACCATGGGACGGTTTCCCAGCCACCCATCCTCCTTGCCCTGTCCCTCACTATATCTCTTTATCTTCGATGGTCCCTTTTATAGGAGGACTTCACAACTCCACCCCAAAAAAGCATATTCCCCAAGCAGTGTCCTCTACCCCCTTCACTCACCCCCCCATCCACAGTAGTGTTCTCTGCCCCCCCCCCCCCCCCTTCACATCATACTAGTGTTTTCAGCTCCTCTTCCAATTTCCTCATCACCCCCAACAGCAATGATCTTTGGCCCCCTTCACATTACCCCCCAAAGCACTGTCTTCTGCCCCCTTTAACCATCATTTAGTGCTTTCCTCTCCTTCACAAAACTGTTCTCAGACCCTGTTCAAGAGGGGGCTTAGTGTGCATAAAGGATGGGCTAGCAACACACATACAATTTTTACCTTTATGCATAGAATGCATGAAGGTAAAAAAACCTTCAGCCTGTACAACCAGTTTAACTTTTCATTTGCCTTGTAGGAGGTCCTAGCAACCTTTTGGAACTTTGACCTCCCACTCCCTACCATCCCGCTGTCATTGGGAATGACAAGCTTATAGACTGAAGGAATGTACTTGGCTCCCAAGAAGGCCTGACTGGCCCGGGTGGGATAGTGACTCGGCCCAGCTCTTGCTGTTTGGGCCATTTAGTGATGCCTTGTATAGAGTCCTAGGTTCACTGTTGCCCGCAGTCTGCACATGCTGGTTGCAAGTGCAGGAATTTTGTATCATTCTAAATGGCAGCTCCATGGCATCTCTGCCCGCAGTGCATTTTTTGCGTGCGGGAACCACATTTTCATAAAGGTGCAAGCACCTTTTTCTGTGGGATACATGAGCACAGCAACCTATTGAAATGACTCATGGCTCACAGTAGTGTGCACCATACTCACTCACATCCCCTTCTCCTCATAACAGCTCATTTGCCTTTAGTAAATTTGTGGATTAATTTAACCTCTTCCCATCCGCTCATTGCAAATAGACAGCAGAAGGGAAGCTTTGCCAATTTGGGCTAACGTACCTGTACATCAGCCTGCACCGGTGGCTCCTGAGTGGCTCACAGCTGTGTCCGGGTGATCACATGGTGTTTTATCATGTGACTGCTGTGACCAATCACAGCATTCACATTGTAAACATTCTAAAGTGAAACTAAAGATCACTTCTCTCTGCTCTCAGTGTGAGAACAGAGAGAAGTGATCCTGCAACCTGTGAGTGTACAGCAGTCTGTCAAGCTGCATGCACTCTCACAAACTGCAGTGCCAGCCACCTCAGTGTCCCAGTTTAGTGACCCTGATTACTGCCCCAATATATTCATAATAAATAATGTAGCCAGGTCTTGTCACCTGTCCCAGTGTGCACAAAAACACCTCATACACCATACCAATGTCTTGATCACCCCCATACCCCATACTAATGCCCTGATCACTGCCATACCCCATACCAACACCCTGATCACCGCCATACACCATACTAGCACCATGATCACTGCCATACCCCATACCAACATCCTGATCACTGCCATACCCTATATCAGCATCGCGATCACATCCATGCCCCATACTAGCGTCCAGATCACCCCATATGCCATATCAGCATCCTGATCACCACCATACCCCATAACAGCGCCCCGATCACCTCCATACCCCATACAGCATTCTGATCACCGCAATACCGGTGTTCTGATCACCGGCATACCCCATATCAGCATCCTGATCACCACCATACCCCATACCAGTGTCCTGATAACTGCCATACCTCATGTTAACGTCCTGATTACTGCCATACATCATACCAGCGTCTGGCATTTTTAGGGTCTCAACTGATCAATTTTTAAATATATTTCCAATAGTTTGTAGACTCTATAGCTCTCACACAGACTAAATATTTATATACTGTTTTGGGTTATTTTTACCCCAAAAATGTAACAATACATTTTGGCCTAAATGTATGAAGAAAAATTATTTATTTGCAAAATAAAAACTAAGAAAAAATATCTTTTAATTAAAATTTTCAGTATTTTTTCATTTATAAAGCAAAAAATGAAAAGCCCAGTGGTGATCAAATACCACCAAAAGAAAGCTCTGTCTCAAAAAAAGGATAACTTGGCCTGGAAGGGGGTGAAAGTGTCTGGACTTGAAATAGTTACTGGATCAGTCCCAATGGGTGAAATTTATTGGAAATTAATATTGGTTTCTGGCAGTATGGTAGTGGTTGAATTAATTCAGGTGCGATTGGAATGGGTCAGAAGCAGTACTTGTGATTGCTCCAGCTTTGAATTTAAAAATGGTTTAAAGTTACAGATATTTACTTTTTTTTTCTTTTTAAATTGAAATTTAAGACTGAATTTGTGGAAACTACACTGAGGGCCTGATTTCAAGTACATTGTATATGTTTTGACCTTTTAGACAGAAAGGAGAGGAGGGAAAAAACAGACAGAGAGAGAGAAGAAAAAAATGATTTTAACTGAGAGAAGACAACCACTTAACATTGAGAATATGAATCAAGAAAATCTGAAGTAAGTAACTATATCTTCAAAGTATCACTATACCAACAAAAAACATACATTTTGATGTTTCTATCAGAATAAGTCATTGCTTTCCCCCACAATCATGCTAACCTGTGTCAAAGCCTGGCCTCCATAATTTCAGGTGGCCACTGTTAGGGATCTGTGGATCTTGTCTTGCTGCAGTTGGGTTGTGAAGGCTCCAGAAGGCTTTGTTGTGATAGAAGGTCTCAGTGGCATATTATACATATGAAAGCTATGCCCCGTGTTTATGGGAGATTTTTAGTATTTTAGAAAAGGATATTGCACCACTAGGGCTTATAGGTGCTAAGCCAATGTTAATGCTGCCATAGAATTTTAACTGTATAAATGCTGGTGTTAATATGCAGAAAAGGTATTCACAGTATATAGAGCAAATGTAGCCCCCTCCTAGGTAGCTAGAGGGAGCTAGACTCCAATTGTTAAACAGGGGCTGAGTAGCAGCCCAGGTGTAATAGCCAGAGTGGGGTCAAATTGTGGTTAGGACTGAGAGGCTCTGCAGGCCAGCCCCTCTGGAATTTCTCCCTGTTCTAGGGCTTTTGGAATACTCTAAATGCAGTGGGTGGATCTCAAGAGTGTCTGGCTGCACTCTGGAGGGATCCTAGCCAATCCCCAACAAGAGGTTGGCAATGGGCTGGACACCCTTAAAAGTATTGGAGCCTTCTCAGTAGCAGGATATTTGGAGGGGGAGTTTGATTGGAAGATGTGAGGCTGATAGCAGGAGGCTGCGAGCAGGATCAGTGGGATGGGGCCAACCTGCAGGCCTGGAGCTGGAAAGCTGGAAAGCTCAGAACTCACCAGCTGCCCTGAGAAAGGACCACCTATATGGCAAGGAAGGAGCAACCCAGCTGGAAGGCTTGGTAGCAGCCACCAACCCACTTGCGGTACAGGAGAGGATCTGAGTGAGTACACCTATTACCCCTGGGATAGGGGAAGGAGCATTCTGGTGGAAAACCAGATTAGCTATCTACCAGTGACTGTTTCCTCTTTTGAAAGTGGCAGTAACCGAATCCCCTGCTCAGGGATACCTCTAGATTACCGGGTGAAGTGGAGAGGTTCATCTGGGATCTGGGGTGGTACATTAAGGAGACAATGGCTACCTCTCCAACAGAGACTGTTCTGCAGAAGACTTGTAAATAGTTCCAGGAAGCTGTCCTCAGTTTAACAGTACCCTTAGGCATTCTGTACACCCCTAACCCTATCCCAGTTCAAATTCTCTAAAAACAAAACCAAAACCAAAGCTCAAGGACTAATTTCTGACTCTGGATGCAGGATTTATATAGCACCAACAGTTTGCTCAGCACTTTACAATATAAAGGGAGACAATACAACAATGATACACTTCAATACGCGAGGCATGGAGGAGCTCAGCCATGAGGAAAGATTAGAGGAACTGAATGTATTCTCTCTTGAGAAGAGGAGATTAAGGGGGGATATGATCAACATGTATAAATACATCAGTGGTTCATATAGTGAACTCGGTGTAGAGTTTATTCACCTTTAGGTCATCACAGAGGACAAGGGGGCACTCTTTACATCTGGAGGAAAAGAAATTTAATCTCTAAACACGGAACGGTTTCTTCACAGTAAGCGCTGTGAAAATGTGAAATAGACTCCCTCAAGAGTTGGTTCTGGCCAGCTAAGTGAATTCTTTATTGGATACACAGAATATAACTGGATACTAACATTTATAGGTAAGGTTGTTCCAGGGAATATCCGATTGCCTCTTGGGGGATCAGGAATTCATTTTGTTCCCTGCAGGAGCAAATTGGCTCATGTTTTGCTGTTTTTTTTGTCTTCCTCTGGATCAACTGTAGGTGTAGGATTATAAGTTTTTTTTTTTTAATGGTTGAACTGGATGGACTTTTGTCTCTTTTCAGCCATACTAACTATGTAACTATGTAACTGATGCCATGCAGGTCTCCTGCAAACCTGTCAGAATATCTGCTTGCTCGTACATCCCGTACGGCAAGCTGACAGGAAGCTTCAATGAATTACCACGGTGCTCCACAGCGTCGTGGTAGTTCATTGAAATCTACAAGCCCACAGCCGCTAAGGCTGTCCGGACTTGTAGACACTCATTTACAGAACACTGTGAATGAGTGACTCGGCCAAGTGGGTGGAGCCCCGCATGGCCGCACTGTTTTCAAATCTGACAGATAGTCAGGGAGTCGCTGAGTTATTTTCGAGCTCCCTGTCACTCTGGACCCCTCTCTGAAATCCCAACCCCTGCTGACACCACAGTACTCTTCTGACCAGAGTAAATTATCACCAGAAAATAGACTTACACACAGATTGAAGTGAACTGATATGATGTTTATATTAAACTTGACTGTAAGCTCCATCGAACAGCATAAAGTAAATATGTATGTAATGGCAATTACCACTCTTAGCAACTCTAAGTAAGAAAACAACACATACAGCAAAATCTCAATCAGTGTTGGCAGGCCTGCTTTTAAAAGTTAACCAAAAACCTCAAACCTGAGGTGTTCATAGTCCCCAGTGAGCAAGGAAACTATCAAATGTTGAACTAGCTCACCTTGGGCCCTCAAGATCTGATGGCAAGGTTTAAATATGAGATAGGAAAGAGCTCTTTCATTAGAGTAGTCAACGTCCCTTTAAATACAGTGAGGGATCTTCTGTGCATTTGTTGGGACCCAGGGTGCACTACAACGATCCAGACCTTTTAAGTGGGAAGAGATGAAGGTGACAGTCCCTCAAAGGATTAATACAAGAATAAGAAGAAGGAAGGACAAGCACTGTACTTGGGTTGTGTCCCTTTGATGCACTAAGCAAGTTGCAAATTCTAAGCAAAAAGGTGTCAAAGATTGGCAGAAGAACTTGCTGGCAAAGGGAAACTCCTGTCTGGACTGCAGTAGCTAATAGCAATGGTGGTAGAGGTTCCTTTAAGAGGGTAGGACAATGGTAGAAGGAAAATTACATGGTCTGACCTACAGAAGGTGCACACTGCGGTCAGCTCTGATGATTGAACTATGCTGCAAATGTGTTCAATAGTAGCGGATAGGGGAATTAGGCCACAACATGTGTTAACTATATGTCCTCAACTGTGTGCAGGAAAGTAGCAGATATAAAAGGAATGTCTGTGTTCACTTGTTTGGCAGGTGTATGGGACTCTCTCACCCAACTTGTGGCATCACTCAGGTCCCGCTGGTCTCTCACTCTCTGCAGATGGGGAGCCCCCACAGGTTCTCCTGTCTGACTTGCAGCATTCCGTCCGGGCACTGCGCTCTGGGTCACCTGCTGGCAGAATGTCTCGCTGAACAGGGTGGCAAGGCTAGCAATCCTTTCTAGCCTTTCACAGAGCTCCTTTCTAGCTCTGTGGCCTGGTCTGATACTCTGGCAGTCAGCACAACTCTCTTTCTCTCTCTCCAATTTTGCTCTCCAGCTCACTCCCCTTTCAATTCCTTTCCAGTCTCCTGGGCTTCTGTATATAAATGCCCCCATCCACATGCCAGCTAATCTGGGAAATGTAGTCCCCTGATACACTGCTCCCCAGTAAAATCCAGCGGTTCAGCATACAAGGTCCATGAGGCTGTTCTAGAGAGTGTGAGTGCCACTGAATTGCAGGACACTGCCATTTTGTGGTTCTCTTAACATTCTGCAACTTGAATTATAGCAGGGTGTTACACAAGTACACTTCAAGTTTGTTGTGATATAATCTTGTGGTTCCAGGGCATGGAGTCTTAATTAAAGTGTATGTTAACCCGATTAGCTAATTTCTGTATATAGCTGACTTTTAACATGTGTAGCACTACCCCCTTAGGAGTCGCTAAAGAATTGGGCTCCCCTTTTATCCTGCACACACATTTTCTCAGACTTGCATCCCAAAGACAGTAAAGAGTCCTTGAGTATGGTTTTTTTTTTAGTTTTATTAGGGGAGTTGAACTTGGATGCGGTAAGGGTGTACGGGATACCCAAGGAACAGTAAACTGGGGACATCTTCCTTACAACTACGGTATATACAAGTCCAAAGACAGAATTCGTCTTGGAGAGCTCTCCAGCCTTTCCTGGGGTACCACCCCAAGCCCCAGATAAATACTCTTCTTTACCCTGCTCTCTGAAGGAATCCCTGGACAAGGGGATCTGGTGCCTGCTACTTTAAGTTGAAAAGTCCCAGGTAAGGAGCTAATCAGGTTTCCCCACCGGAGTGCTCTTTTTCCCCTTAGCTGGCCCAAGGGGTGTAGGTAGGTGGCTACCTTCTGACCTTCTACTGGGCTGGCTCCTTTCCTTGCTCCACAGGCAGTCCTCCTTCTGGGGACTAGTGAGGCCGAGTGATTCTCCTTTCCAGGTCCCCTCCCACTGGGCCCCCTTCCAGGCTCCTGCATCTCAGCCTTCCTCACATCTTCCACCTGAACTCTCCTTCTATATTTATAAGAAGGTCTGTGAGGGGAGCAATGGTTTTGGAAACCCCCCCAACAAACCAACGGTACCATGAACAGAATCCCAGGTATGATCTCAGTTCAATGACATTGTTAGGTTGGGGTCAGGTGGTCACAGCCTCAATTTTACTGGTTTCGGTAGCCACTCCCCAGATAGGTGATGTAACTCCAGTAGAATTGGCACTTCCTAGGGACAGTTTCAAGCCTTCCTCATGAAGCTGTTGGAACACTTCTCCAGCAGCTCTTCGTGTTCTTCCAAAGTTCTTCCAAACACAATTTTGTCATTAAGATAGGCCAGGACTTCAATCAGATTCATATCCCCTACCATGCACTAGATCGATCTCTGGAAAGTGGCGGGCGCCGCAGACAGGCCCTAGGGCACGCGGTCAAATTAGAAAAATCCCAGAGGGCTGATGAAGGCAGTTTTCTCTGTCATCAGGGTACATAGGGATTTGGTAATATCCACTCTTCAAATCCAAAACACTAAACCATTTGGATCCTGACAGGCACTGTAGCGCATACTCAATTCTATAATCAATACACTTTTGCAGGGTGCCATTCTTTTTCGCACTACTACAATAGGGAAGGGGGGGGGCATAGGGGCTTCTGGACTCCCAAATAATCCCAGCCCTTTTCAACTCTGTCAACTGCTCTTTAAGGTCTTCCAGGTCCCCCAGAGGGACCTGTCTTGTTCATTTCCATAACGGTTTGTCTTCACTAAGTCAAATTTGATGCTGGGCACTTTTGGTGCATCCAACATCATAATCATTCTTAGCAAACACCTTTTGCCAACTTGTCAGTCTATTTCTTGCCTTTTGTTTCCATTCCTCCAACAGATGGGAATCCTGAAGGCTGAATCTTTCCCTGGTTGGATCGTCAGGTGACTCAGACATACTGACTGGCGTGGCTACATTCACTTGCCCCAGCAGGGTCCTAGGCTTGAGGGTGATGGGGTCTGTGTTGCAGACTCTGACAAGGGCATTACCTCTGTTGCACTGCAGAGCCTTTGTGGTAATCACCTATGGAATTATTTCCACTCCATCTGTCTCTCTTATCTGTGCTATCTGTTTCCAGTACCACAAAGGGCCCTGGTTGATCCATTTTGACTCGGGCTCTCAGATAAGTAACTGATCCTGGCTGGAATACTACCATCTTCTAGTTCATTCTTCCAAACATTTCCCACTTCCTCTTCAGGGACCCTCAGCTCTCAAACAACCTTCTGATACACCTGACGTAGCTGCAGATGGATACTCTCAATAGGTATCGTACTCTACTCAGCCAGCAGAATAAGGATCCTGCAAACCAGGTTGGTATTGGTCTCAATTAGCAGGGAGTACTGTTTTACCCCTGATAGCCTAGTACAAACTACTGCCAGAGTGTCAAATGTTTTGGTTCTTCCTGTCAGAGTTGGGTCGAAGACCAGGCGAACAGGTATGTAGCTGTCATGTGGACACCTCTGGGTCCCAATCCCCCAAATAACTAGCTCTTCCAGTTTATGTATAGGTATGTGTTTCAAATCCAAATATAGTAGGGTCACCTTATCTCCAGTGTCCAATAAATCTTTGGTGTACACCCCTTCCACTTGAATGGAAACCGCAGGTGATGGGCCTATTAGTTCAGCTGGTAGTCTTCCTGGCTGAGGCTTTGCACTTCTAATCTGGGCCTTTCCAGGTCAAGTTGCTAGTTTCTTGAAAGGTTTCTTTCCCGGGTTCCTAGGTTGGTGTGTATCTGTTCTAAGGGACAATTAAAGGTGGGTGTCTGAGTGGTTTTAGTCTCTAAGGTCTGTGTTCCTTGAAAAGTGGAGTGCGTGGTTTCCTTAGGGTCCTCAGTTGGCTCCTTCACTGAGGCCCTCTGAATTTCCTTGTCTGCTTTTTTCAGGGCTTGTATTACTCTGGCTTTGAGATCTGCAGTTGACTCATTTTGTGGACATTGAGCCCAAAAGTGTTCCGGTTATCCACACTGGTAGCAGCGCCGGATAGACCAGGTGCCGGATTCTCCCTTATCCGCAGCCATTGCTGTCACAATATGTCCCCTTTCCAACATGGCCTTCTATATAGCAACATGGGCCTCCATGACTTGTCCTACTATCTTCTGAGCCTCACAAAGGAACTGTTGGATCATGGCTTGGGCTTCAGCTAGCTGTGACAGGGTCTGTACTATATTGTCTATTGGAGCTATAGTCTGCATGTCAGGCACTCCCTTTGTGGCTGGGATAACTTGAGAAACAAAGGAGGAGACCCTTGGCCCGGTTCCACTCTGGAAGCGGTGTCAGTGGTCAGAAAGTCCTCCTTTCTCCTCCAGTGTCTCTGTGGCCTGGCCCAGCCTGGACCTCCAGCATCCCACACAGCCTTCCCCTCATACTTGCTCTCCAGCTCTCCTCTGTTCACTTCCTATCCTTGGGTTCATAGGCTTTGGTATTTATCTGCCTCCACCCATTATCTTGCTCTTCTTGGAAGTGTTATATGCTAGCTCACTGTCAAACAGTGAAGTCCTGAAATTAACCTACGAATCCCACAATGTTTTTCAACAGAGTCTGTGTAACTGAGCTGAAGGACACTGCCATCTTGTGTCCATTTAACATCCTGCAACCAGTAGTACAGCAGAGTGTTACACATATTAAACAGTTTGGAAAGTTGTTTGCAATGCTGTTAGTAAATGTATATAAAACACCAGTTGATCATGTCAGTTTCTGTAGTCTACAGCCTTCCTGAATCAAGCTGACAACATTAACCGTAGGCTGTTGATGTTTTGTTAGAAGTGTCATCATCCCTTGTGCTCTCCTGCATTGGGACCTGAGAATGCTGTGCACAGCATGCCTGCAAAGTGTTACTAGTAGTGGGAAATGCTCAGAGAGTGCTGTCTCAGAAGACTATGGGGAAGGAGGGAGGACAACTTCCACTTCTGATTGCCTAGGCGATCGCAGCGGAAGTGGGAATGGGTGCCTGTCAAATGTGGGTACCCGCTCCCTCCCCGCTCCCCAAATGTGCCAATCCTTAAAGGGGAGCGGGGGAGGGGACAAAGCATTAAAGCGGAACTTCCCCTTTTGGGTGGAGCTCCGCATTAAAGTCTTGAACCTGACAGTGATATAACAGCACTCAGAATCTGTTATGGCTTTTCCTTAACCTGCAGCTCTGAGCGCTGTATATACAGTGTTTTTCCAGATAGCTGTGAGGCGGCCATGTGTCTGCTGATTAGAATGCTAATAACATATTTCATTGTGATTTAACATATGAAAAGTAATACTTATTGCACATTAGGTGTCTACACATTAACTGCTAGAAAGCAACCTGGTTAGCTTCCTGTATCACAATGAATATAGTGTAAAACATACCTTTAAACTGTAGCAACATATACAATATATCAGTACATGTTTCAGCATAATTCATACAGTTCTGCATAGTCATATGTGTACAAAATTATGCAAATTCACTCATCACCACCCACCAACACAGGCTTAATCCCATTTTATAGTCTTATTATTTTTACATAGGGCACAAGCTCAGTCTCTATATAACCGGATATATCAACTGGAGGCTGAGAAATTTGACCTTCAAGAGAAATTCAAAATGCAGAAGTATGAGGTAAGTGCTCTGTATGTGCAAAAACCTATAGAACAAATACAATCTAGGAATATTTGGATAATCTGATCCTATGAAGTGTGAAGGCTTTTATTAATATCTAAAGAAATCTTTCTCTTTCTTGCAGAGTAATGTTCTGATAAATCGAGTCACTGACCACCAGAAGCTGTATATTCATTAAACAGGTGTGCAACAGACAGTTGATTATAAAAAGATGTTACTTAACAAAGAAAACCCCTTCCCATTTCATGCTGTCAGCAATGGCACCACATGGAAGGGAAATGTCACAAGGCCTGAGAAAGAAAATTATCTCTTTACACAAGAAAGGTGAAGGCTACAAGAAGATCAGTAAAGCTTTACTTATCAGTTAGAATACTGTAGAAAAAGTGATACAAAAATGTAACAAAGATGGAACTGCAACCATCTCACAGAGATATCCAGGCCATCCACGGAAGTTAACACCTCGACAGGAGTGTATTCTGATGAGAAGGGTTGAATAAAATCACCATGCAAGTTCACTGCAGTTAGCTAAAGAAGTAGAAAGCCAAACTGGGGTGATTGTTTCCCATGGCACAATACTGCATACACTGCAGAGGAATGGCATGCATGGGTGTCATCCTTGAAGGAAACCTCTCCTAAAGCCCATGCACCAAAAAGTCCTCCTAGAATTTGATGTTCTTGGAAACTGATGGTTTCAAAACTTTATGGCGTCGCAAAGGTGAGGAGTACAAAGAAAAATACATGGTGCCTAAACTGAAACATGGTGGTGGCAGTGTCCTTCTGTGGGGCTGTATGAGTGCTACTGGTGTTGGGAGCTGCATTTTATTGAGGTATTATGAATCACAGATGTACTGCTCTAAACTGAAAGAGAAGATGCTACCATCACTCCGTGCCCTTGGTCGGCATGCAGTTTTTTCCAAAGTGACAATGATCCAAAACACACATCTAAGGCCACTGCTGGGTGAAAGTAATTTAGTGGCCAAGTATGCCCCTGATCTGAACCCAAACGAACATCTATGGGGAATTCTCATCCAGCATTCAGGCTCTGAAAGAAGTCATTCTCAAAAACTGGAAAAAGAATGATGTTGCAATTTGTTGCCAACTTGTCCATTCCATGCCTAGAAGACTTGGTACTGTCCTTACAAATCATGGAGGTCATACAAAATACTCGATGTAGTAGTTTTTGTTGTGGGGGTGTATTCATTTTTGCATCAAGTAATTTGAGTAAAACTGAAGACTTTGTAATCTAAGTTATATAATTAACCTTACTTTCATGTAATGAGCTAAACAAGTGTTCTATAAAACTCAGTTTTGTCAACATTTTTGAAATTGTTCTTGTGTTCATAGAAATATTGATTAAAATCCTACTTTTCAAAAGGGTTGTACTCATTTATGCTGAGCACTATATATACAGTGTTTTTCCAGACTTTTGAAGTGTAAGAAGACAATGACTTTCCTAAGCCCCATCTCTCTAAATAACTAACACTAACTGATAGAACATAGAGGAAATGGGGATGGTCTAGCTAGGACTAAACTAACTGGCAGTGAACTGGAGGGGAGAACAAAAAAGAAGATACCAAACAGGTTGTAGTGGCCTACTTTTTTTAAAAAATAAAATCTGAAGAAAATATTTAAAAAATATATATTTTTGAAAATATTTTTTTTAACCAGTTACTGCCCGGCCTATAGCCAGATGGCGGCCGGGCGAACAGCTCGTCCTTCTGGGTGGACGCCATATGGCGTCCTTTCCGGAACGCTCATTGCACATACCCGCAGGGCCGCACTGCAGTATGATCTGTCACCAGCCATGTACCTCGGTCACAGCCGATAACAGATCTGTGTGACCAATCACAGTAGGTCAAATGACAGTTGTATACAATGGATGGCTTCCTTTCATGCAATCCATTGTATACAAGTGTGTCTAGCTGTGAATGGTCACAGCGATCATATGCACAAGCTGGGCCAATCACAACCCAGCTGTGTAATGTGATTAACCATGGCCAAATCACAGCTAATCACAAAAAAACCTGAATGAATCAATTTCATTCAGGTAAATGCTTGCTTATAGCAAATTGTGTAAAAACAAAAAAACAAAACAAAATACTGATCACTTCCCCAAAGTAGTACAATGTTACTATGGTAATATTATACTACTTTGGTAATAGTGCAATATGAAAAAAAAAAATCTTAAAAAAGAGAAAGAAATGTAAGAAAAAATTAAAAATGAAAAAAACAATTGAAAAAAATTATCAATTTTTTTTGTACTGTCACCAGTCAGTGTCCCTGATCACCGCCATGCCAGTTAAATGATGACGCTGTATTGCACTGGTGACAATATGTAAAAAAAAAATAGTGAAAATTATTTTTTGAATTCCTTCATTTTCCGAACAATTATGACAAAAAAACTTCAAAAAGCTCCCCATGCCTCTTATGAAATACGTTGGACTGTCTGCTGTGCAAAAAGTGGTAATTTGGGGGGGGATATCTGTACTATCCTGACATTCTTGGACCTCAAGAAATTAGATTGGCCATCAGTACTTCAGGACTGATTGATTTTCAGATATATCCCATAGTTTGTGAATTCTATAACTTTCCTACAGACTAAATAATAAACACTGATTTGGATTATTTTCACCAAAGACATGTAGCAGAATACATCTTGGTCTAAATTTATGAAGAACAATTAATTATTTGCAAACTTTTATAACAGAAACAAAGAAAAACGTGTTTTTTTTTTCAAAATGTTCGGTCTTTTTTTTTGTTAATTTAGCAAACACTAAAAACCCCAGTGGTGATTAAATATCACCAAAAGAGAGCCTGAGTTGTGTGAAGAAAATTATAAAATTTTAGTTTGGGTACAGTGTTTCATGACCGCGCAATTGTCATTCAAAGAGTGAGAGCGCTGAAACCTGAAAATTGGCCTGGACAGGAAGGGGGTAAAAGTGCCCTGTATGGAAGCGGTTAAAATATATTCTTCCGATTTTTTTTTAAACATATAATAAAGTAATTTGAACATATATTTTTACATATATTTGTAAATGCATTCCAAAAATGTAGATATGTATGTATATTTAAAAAATATACAGTATATTTGAAATGTTTTTTTTTTTTTATATTTTTCAGATATTTTGTAATAAAAAATGCATTTCAACAAGCAATATATATATATATATATATATATATATATATATATATATATATTGAAATATATTGAATATGGACAAAATTGTAGCATTTCAAATATATGGCAATATATTTGGAAAGAATATGTGTAACGTATTTCAAATATATTTTTCTTCCATATGAGAAGCTTTGTATTCATTCATAGAATATAACATTTCCTGTGAATGGCTGGGCTGTGCAATGACTCAATTGTGTTCTGGGAGTGGAACTGGAAGTACCTGTCCTGCTGATGAAATACAGTGCTGTATAATAAGGCTACATATAGTTTATCCACTTAGTTACTGCCTGCCCTCAATGTACTGTTGGTGGACAACTGCTGTAGGCAAAGCAACGTACCCATACGTTGCCGCCTACTTCTACTACACAGTGGGAACCTGTCAGTAAGTCCCGGCCAATGTTTGACAATCAACACAGAGCTTTGTACAGGGAGAAAAATCTGTTTCTCATCCCAGCAAAGCAGAAACTTGAGATCAGTAAGTAAAATCAGCACACTTTACAGTTAAAGTGTTACTAAACCCAAATCATTAAAATCAGCCTTTATATGCAGTAAAGCATGCTTGTTAATCCTCTGCATTGTGTAAAAAGGATGTTTGATCCTGTATTCTCTGTTCCTCCCCTTCCTCTACTGTCTCCAATCCATCTCCTGATAGTATAGAGCTCTAGGAGACACTCTGCACATGCTCAGTTTGTTTTTTTTTCTTAGGCTGGTGCATGTGATAAGCACAGGGTCAACCAGCACTGTCCAGACAGAGGGTCAGGGGTCATGCAGCCTCATAGGACAGTCAGAACCAGGGGAGGACTGACAACTCATGGGGCCCCTGGGCAATAGGGGATCATGGGCCCCCCGGGCAATAGGGGATCATGGGACCCTGGGCAATATTATTATTATTATTATACAGTATTTATAAAGCGCCAATAGTTCGCTCAGCGCTGTACATTACAAAGGGGGGCAGAACATGTGACAGAACAATACCAATACAATGCAAAACATGAGGGGATTGAGGGCCCTGCTCTTTCGAGCTTACAATCTAGGAGGGAGGGGATGGTGGCACAGGAGGAGATAGCTGTGGGGGATGGAGTGGTAGGAAGAATGGAGGAGGTTGGCAAGTTAGCAGGGGGTGGGGTAGGCTTTCCTGAAGAGATGGGTTTTCAGGGTGCACCTAAAGGAGAGGAGAGTAGGTGATAATCTGATGGGTTGGAGCAGGGAGTTCCAGAGGATGGGTGACACCCTGGAGAAGTCCTGGAGGAGGAGACCAGGGAAACTAGAGAGAAGGAGGTCTTGTGAGGAGCGGAGTGTGCGTGCTGGGTGGTACTTGGATATTAGGTCAGTGATGTAGTTCGGGGCAGTATGGTGGACAGCTTTGTACGTCAGTGTTAGGATTTTGAATTTGATCCTTTGCGCAATTGGAAGCCAATGGAGGGATTGGCAGAGGGGGGTGGCGGAAATGGAACGTTTGGAAAGGTGAATGAGTCTGGCAGCCGTATTCAGGATCGACTGAAGTGGGGATAGCCAGCGGCGAGGCAGGCAGTGAGGAGGGAGTTGCAGTAATCGAGTCGTGATATGATGAGGGAATGGATGAGCTGTTTAGTGGTTTCTGGGGTTAGGAACGTGCGTATTTTGGCGATGTTGCGGAGGTGGAGTCTGCACGAGCTTGTTAAAGATTGGACTTGGGGCTGGAAGTATAGGTTGGAGTCCAGAATGACACCAAGTACTCTGGCCCGTGGGGCGGGTTTGATGGTGGCATTTTTGGATGTGATGGAGAAGTCAATGGGGGTTGGTGTCCGGGCTGGGGGGGGAAGACAAGAAACTCGGTTTTGGAGAGGTTCAGTTTAAGGAAGTGGAGCGACATCCAGTCTGATATGTCGCTCAGTAGGTGTGCGATTCGGACGGAGACCGAGGGGGTGAGGTGGGGGGTTGAGAGATAGATTTGTGTGTCGTCAGCATAGAGGTGGTAGTTGAAGCCGTGAGAGTGTATGAGTTGGCA